TGTTTTTTTTCTCTTGATCCCAATCCTTTTTTTAAATGTAAAATTTTTATCCTGTGTTATTTTTATTGGAACATTTTTGATGCATTTTGTTAAGCTTTAGAATTGCTTTTGTGTATGAAATGTGATATAAAAATAAACAGCAAAATTACTTAAGCAAATTAAAAATGTATTTGTTTGAAAAATTTATCTCTATAGGATTTACTATCTGAAGTGGATTGTTAATTTCAAGTCAGTGGAGGGCTAAACTGGAAGGGCCAGGGGAAGTCTGTAGTGGACTTGCTGTACAAGCCCCACAGTGTGGAAGCATATGCAAAAGATCCGGGGTTATTTCATACCAGGAAATCAAACCTTTTTTGATTTTATGCGACACTGAACTGCCTCCATAAGAATGAACGGAGCTTCATCTCCAACAACGTATCGTGTTCTCCTTTAATACATCCATAGTCCAGAGGGAGCTGTGTGAAATCTGACAAATTGCCTTAAGTGATGTCACTTGAGTCAGTGCCTGTTGGGCCTGAAGACTACAAGGGAAAAAGGGTGTGGAGTTAGAAAGACGTAAACTTACCAGATTTCTGTAGCCCTCTCTGCTTGAAGCTAGCAGCTCAATGCTACATTAGCTGCTTAGTGAGAGTAGGAAAAACGTGTCGCACACTCTTCCTTATGAATTAGTTTTTTATTCAGATGATGATGTTTCGGCCTTCTTAAAGCTCAACAGTCATATTAAGACACAGGCATCGCTATTTTATATAGGCCACACCCTAGTTGGTGGTTCTGATGGTGATTATATAATCATGTTCCATCATTAGGGTGAGAAAAAAACAATCAAGAGGCCTTCAGTGAATCAGAAGTTAAAGCCAATCAAATTACTTTAAACAAAATGACTGGAACCAAGTCTCATATCACATAGAGATTTAAATTATGCATATATAGATATATATATATTTGGGTTAAATATCTTTAAAATCTTTTGACAATACATACATTTTGAATAGATTTCTTAAAGATATGCTGTGGTGGTGCATTTCCTGGTATAAAATTGCCCAGATTTCTGCATATGCATCTGCATTGGGTTCTCAGTCAGCTCTAGTCAAGACAGAGACTACAAATATGGTGACTCATAGCTCCAATCAAAAGATAAACATAAAAAAGACATAAAAAATGTCATGTTATGTAATGGTTATTGTTATTATTATTATGTACAGTCACAGTCACAGTATATAGGCTGTAAACAGCATGAACCACTATTTTTATCATAACCTACTGAAATAATTTCCCACTGTCTTTGCTGGATATTTTGCCAATCAATTATTATTCATATTACTGTGTTCTGTCATGGTACATATGACTTGAGTGTAGTTGAGTTAATTACACCAGAAGACATAAAGAAGAACATAATTTGACTCTTTATTTTTTGATGATGAGTGTTGTTAGTCTGAAGGTTTCCTCAGTTTATTTGGGTGTGTATGAGCAAGTATCTTCACAAGGCGTTTCACCACCACTATCAACCACAATATTGTGGAAGTCAGAGCCACAGCATGATGACCCAGTAACAGGAAGGTTTTATTTCCGAACCAGTTTGAAATGGAGGACAACACGCATTGACGATAGTTTTCAACACATCCTGTAATAGAATTTTTTGTTGTAATCGACAGGTTGTGTTGGAAAGCAACCCGAATGTCTGTTAATCTAACACAGTGTGTATTACACACGCGTTTGTTGATTGTGACACATCCTTTGTTTCAGAGCAGTTCATTCTGTCGGCTTTAAGTCTTTCTCAGTGAGAGCGGATTGGTTCAGAGTTGCTGTGTTGATGCAGCTGCTCACCAGTCGGAGTCAAGTCTTTCCTCATGCTGCTGGGAGCCTCTCAGACACCTAAACAAACACACAGAGACAGGTCGCAAATGAAGAGATGCATTATTGTTTAACCATAGAAAACTGTAAAACCCTCCCCTCCCCATGCTCACCCACACAACTACAAAGGACTGCCCCACCAGGACTTATTTCTTATTTATCATTTTTTATCTTATTTGTATTATATACAAAAGTTTCTAGTTACATAGGCAACCACACTGTGAAATTGTATCTAACTGGTCTTTTATACAAAAGTTTTTCTTTTCTCTCTCTCTCTTTTTTATATTTGCATATATATATATATATTTATTTTGTATATACTGCCTCACCCTTAATTCCTGCTGTGCTATGTGCCATTGCAAAGAAATGTCATTTTGATGCAAATCCAAATGACAAATAAAGTCTGTCTAAGTCTAAGTCTAAGTAAGACTAATGCACATAGCGGAACATCAGAGTGTCCTGGGTATCAACACTCACACTGTGCCTGTTCAAAACACACTCACAAAAACAATACCTAGACCAGTGGCACAGCAGAGGGCAAGCCAAGTCTCATGGCTCACCTGTATTCATATCTCTGCAAAGCCTCTATAAGTGTTATCACTCTTGTACATGTACATTTACTTTTATTTACTAATGTAAAATAAAATTTGTATAAAAAATAAAAATATAATATAAAATATTTGTAAAAATATAAAACAAAAAAATCACTCGTGTAATATTTATTAACAAAATAATTTAAGAATTCATTTTGACCTGTAAAATTGCATCAACACACCCCATTTAAACCAGACAGGTTATTCAATTAAAACTGAGGTATAGTAGTGGAATGCATACAAAGTATTGATAGAATAAATTTAAAATAAATTCTTAACTTTTTGTATAGTTACATATTGCAATAATAATGTATGGTTGTCACAAAACCCCACAGCACACCTGGACTTGCCTCACGGTGCACCGTTTGCTGCTGTGGTGCACATATAACCACCACACCAAAATCTGTCAGAGAGCTACAGTTTGATTTTAAGGTGCTTCTTCCAACCAAAACTATTACTTCAAATAATAATAATTTATAGAGAGGCTAGCCTTTGGACTAAAATACATTAAAATAACAATAGTAATAACGTGAGACTGTGAAGGAATGTTCTTTGAGGTCATGTTTCACTTTAAACAGATGAAACTTGAAGCATCAAACCACAAAGTAAGGTACCTGTTTCTCCAGGTGGTCAATGTGCCGCTGGCGTCTGCCAATGAGTCGGTCTCGGGCTGAAACCTCTGCGGTTAGACTGACGAGCCGTCGGGCCTGTTTATCCATGATAACCTGAAACACAACCAGGATACCAGACGATCACCTGCACTGATAAATGTGTGTCTACTACAGCACAGAAACTACAAATAAATAACACACAAAGCAATGTTGTTTTTAAATATTTCATAGTTTTTTAATGCTTTAAGTTTTAGAAAAGCTATGCACTATAATGGCCAAAAGTATGTGGACATCCCTGTGGTTTGCTTCCAACTTTGTAGCGACAATTTGGGTTTCTTGTATACAGCTCAGAGTTCTTATGTGCCTGTGTGTTGTTGTCACCCAGATAAATACCTATCTATTTACTGGTTAAGTTGTTGTTGTTGTTTTCTCACTTTAGTGTTGTTGATATCCAGCTGAGTTTGATCCCCCGAACTCGGACCGGTCAGGCTCCTCAGTCTCTGGAGGATCCGGTTCATCTGGTGCTGCGTGGCTCCCTGCTCCGTCTCCAGATCCTCCAGCCCCTTCTGCAGATCTCTGACCGCCTTCCACAGCCTGTCCCCCCTGGCACTCTGTATCTGCAGGTCCTTCCTCACCTGAAGAACACAACATTATATCACATTATTCAAAGTGATGAATGATATAATGATATTTTTCACAGCAGCTATGAACCCTGATGTTTTCCAACTTTGTCATAAGTTGGCTCGTATATCAATCAGTCTTTGGACTTTTGGAGTCATTGACTTTATTCCTTTTTTTCCAATAAACCATTACATGGAAGTCCCTTTCTCTAGAACAGCTATAAACCAACTATAAACATCTCACTGAAATAAAACCCTTTATTTTGTATCTCTTTTTTTGTTTGTTTCATCGTCTGTGTTTGATGGTGATTTTCCAAACAAACACATTTCAGAGATGATTCAGAGCAGCTTTCAATGAAACATGAGTAACCTCTATAGATCTACGTCATAGTGCAGCCACAAAAATCATGGTGTCATCAATGAATCAATCATTCATATTGCACCTTACAGGTTATGTAAGGTCAGTTCCATAATATAAAACAAAGACTAAATCAATGAAACATGCCATGTTCACCCTTAAATATATCAGCAATTTCATCATGGAAGCATCAACTCTAAAAGAGGCATCTTTGGGGGAATTAGTTATTTTAACTTCCTCAAGGTCCACAGGGGAAGGTTGGGCATCAGAAGCAAAGAGAAAAAGAAGAAAAATGCACAACAAAATTAATGGAGACAAAGTTAACAATTTAAAGAGCTGCATCGATTAATGGATCAACATTAAAATAAATAAATAACCAGCTACTGTTTTGATAATCTATTCATCGTTTTAGTCCTCAATTCCACCTTTTCAAAAACAAGCAATTTTTCACCTTAAGGAAACTGTGATGGGTATTTTTCACAGACACATTGACATTATAAACCAAATAAATAATTGATTAATCAAAAAAATTAATAAATACATGGCAGATTTGATAGTGGAAATGAATGTTAGTTTCAGCCCTACCAACATCCAAAAATTGATAAAATGCTGTGTACCTGTGGGTCAGGAACCGAGATAAAGTTTGGATGTTTTTGTCTGCAGTGGATTTCCTTTGTAAAATGATTCTTGCTCACCTGCCTGTGAGTCCGTGCTGACTGTAAACTTTGCTTACGAAGGCCCTCCAGACTCTTTGTGGCCCCGTCCAGCTCTGCTGCCACCTGGTCTCCCTGCTGCTCCAGCCGCCCGGCGTTCTCCTCCACCCACCGCAGCAGGTGAGCCAGTCCCAGCGAGAGCATCCTCAGCTGGGACACGGGGACCTCACCTGCCTCCTGTGATGTGGAAGCATCACTTGGTGGAGGGGCACAGAGTCCCACTAGCAAAACAGACAACTGCAGCACTCGGCTCGCCCCCATACTCTTACAGGATTTCATCAGGTAGAAACTCTAAATCCCTTTCTGCAGGTCTAGATCCCAAATCTTGAGAGCCCAGAACCAGATCTGATGAAGGCTGCTTAAAAAGGAGTGGTGAAGAGTTGAATCCACATCTGCTGGGCCTCTAGTGTTCTGATGTGTGTCAGATGTTCCCTGAGGAGGTCTGGAGCTTAAGAGTGGTGAAGGATAGAGGGATGAGGAGAGGGAGGAGAGCCATACGGAGACAAGGGGGGAGTTCCCAGACTGACGCTGAACTATAAAATAGGAACATTTAAACCTGAGGTCTAAATATTTTATTCCAAATAATAACCAGAATTGGTCACACGTCACACAGGCACACAAGACATTATATAAAGACTCCTGCATGACCGATCAACAAAATTCTCTGTTGCTGATGAATTCTGATAAAGTGCTTAATTTGAAGTGAAAGCTGCAGGTTTACAGTTGTCACTGTAACACTTTGCTGAACTTTGGACACTTTTCTCCTCATGCAAATGAGCCTGTGTTGGATTTATACATAATAAAGCAAGAGAGACATCTGCTGGCTGTCTGAGGAACTGAAATGAGCTTCTTTCTTGTTCTGAGAGGGGTACTGGATGTACAGTAGTGCATTAATCTGAACATGTTTAATGGCTGGATGTATTACTGGATTATATATTACTTATTTGACATCAGGCAAGACCCCTCTCTCTGTCATATTCGTAACCATACAAGCTGCCATTTTGTGGCCAGTTTTCACTACCAGTGTTTCAGATAAATATCTGTCAGACAGATTGTAACCTGGAGAAAGACCTGTAGAATATGACGTGCACACTTTGGTTCCCAAGAAAACCTATTTTTGGAACCAACTTTTCAGGTTCCAAACCAAAAATTCTAAATACTTCAAAATAAAAGAATGGTGCAAAACTAGGTGCACAAACTGGAACAGAGCTGGTTCCCTGTTAGTGGAAAGGCCTCTCCCTTGCATTGTTTTCAGGCAAAGAAGGCAGCTGTTTTCAAAAAAGAAAAGCTCTGAAAAACCACTGCATGTTACCTGCACAGCACCACACAGCAGACAGACACAGTTGGCGACAAGCTGGTGAACACTGTGGAGCATTTAGTAGCTAAAGAGCCAGATATTTCCCTCAGGAGTTGGTGGAGACCAAAACCAGAGCTAAAAGAGAGTGAATATTGGCCACACCAAATGAATGCTATATTGCTCTGTGTCTGCTGAATGTATAAATAGACAACTGTTTGCTAACAAGTTTTCCATGTCAACTTAGTAAGGTGATAATGTGTCATTGTTATGTTTAAGATTGACTTAATGAAAACTGGAATAAAATGTCCATTATCATCAACTGAAATTATATGAAGTTGATTAAATAAAACTTCCGATCTCAGGAAAACAAAAAAAGCTGGCAAATAAACACCAGTACACTTCCCCACCCGTATAGGCTCCATCTTCTACAGTCCACGGAAGGACACATAAATTAGAGAATATGCAGTTTATCCCGCTTTAGCTGCTATGTTCCATTTTCTTCAATGACTTGCTTACTTTGCCTGCAGTTTGCTTCTGCACATGAGGTTGATGACCATACACTAAATGTGCCATAAAGCCAAACCTATTAACTAAAATAGGCTGAAAATCTCAGCTGCAGAGTTGGTGATAGTTCTCTGTGGGGTTCAGAAGGCCTTTTTACATTACCCAGAGTCATTTGCTATAATGCTCATATAAAATATTATCAAAGATTTCTGATTTTGGGAACATTTTCTAATAATCTGCCCCCACAATTCAGGTTTTTATTCCCTTACGTTGGAAGTAAGCTTATTCAAACTATTGTACTATGTAGAACTATTTTTTTGTACAGTATTTATAGTTACCAGAATTTTTTTAAATCAAATAATCAAAAGCTTTGTTAAACTGAATTGGATTGAGACAAAACAAGACTTCCTACACTCAGACTCAGACTCAGGCTGAAAGAGCTGCTTTGTGCCAACGAGGGACAGACCAACAAACTGTTCTTTGAATTGTTTTGGAGTGGGGGAAGGCCTAATGCACAAACAACACTATGTCAACTCATAAAGCCTGATTTATAAAGGAGAGAAAGGCGTCAGTCTCAGCCCACTCCTTCCTCCTGGCATTCAGGATACACAGGAAAGCTGCAGGGAGGCACTGTCACTCGGCCACTGCATGAGAGAGGCTGCGGAAAACAGGATACAGTAAGTCAATATGCTTTCATAATTTTAGGAGACATTTGAATAATTTCTGATATGGATTAAAGGAGTAAATGATTTGGTATAAAAAAGATGCAACAGCAAATATTTAAAGGTACTAAAGTCATCGTTAGATGAAAACCTTATATACTTACTTTCTATATATATATATATATATATACTTTGCATTGTTTTCTGTGTATCCAGTGTAATAGTTTTAAACCAAAGCATCATAAAAATGTCTTCATTTCTTGATCTGCTTGTAATCTTTAAATTTAGATATAAGACTAAACCTAAAACTCCTCAATGAATTAATGAATTAAAGAAAAAATGCTTGTGCTCTTGGAGAAAAAAAAAAAAAAAAACAAATCCCAAAAAATGATGAGCTGGAGCAATGTGGTGGTTATGATAAAATGCTTTTAGGTGCATGGCTTGCAATACAGTTCAGCCATGCCTTCATCAGCACAAGATTTTACAGTTTTATCTCTTATCTTAAGAACAATTTGTGCTTATTGGTTGTATTTCCAAGAGTTAGATGAGATTATACAACTTTGATGTTTGTGAGTGAGGTATGTTGCTGGAGCTAGCAGCCAATTAGCCTAGCTTAGCATAAAGACTAGAAGCAACTGGCAAACAACTAGCTGTCCGATGAGAAAAAATCATACCCACCAACAAAAGCTAAATCTAAAGCTCACTAATTAACATGCTGAATCAGTACACAAAAATAAATGTAAAAAATGATCATTTAGGGTTTTAGGGGGAGTTGCGTGCTGTAGCTATTTGCTGGTGCTATAGGCTAGCTGGTACCCCCTGCTATTGGTCTAGAACAAGCTAGGCTAATTGCCTAGTACTAGGTTTGCCAACATTTACCATTTTTACCTACTTGAAAAACACGTTGAAGTAAAAATGAAATCAAGAAAATGTAATCTCGGAGGCACAACCACAGCTATGCATGCTAAGACTGTGTTGACAAGACGCTAGCCAGGAGAACCAACTCTGCTAGCATCACAGAGTCTGTTTTGGCTCCAAAATCTCAAGAAATGTTGCTGTGTGATTTGGTAGAGGCATGCTTTTTTCTCATTAGCGGAACATGAGCATACTTTTCACCAACTCTTGGGATCTGGAACGGGCTGCTAGACTTTTACAAATAGGAAAACAAAACAAGTGAAGCTATTGCAGGATGAATACTGCATATTCTGAACAACAATGGTCTGGGTCTGGACAACGTTGCTGCGTATTTGGCAGATAACAAGAATTTTTGGAAAGCATCATTCGTGTTACTGGAAACTAAAGCAGGCAAACACAGGACTGATACAGTGTCACATTGTTCACAACTCCCTTTAAAACAGAATGAAAGGCTTGAGTTTTAATGTTGAATTGCATATGATGAAAACCTACAGTGAATTTTCATCATTGACCAAGGATGTAGCAATAGTTTGATTATCTGGAAACGGCATCAAGAAGTGTTGTGGCATGTTGTCATAAGTTGGTTGTCAATTACGTTTGCTTGTTGTTTAGCGCTTTATTTGATACTGCTTTGTTTTTAGAGGTGTGGACATCTTGTGTGTTATCCATATATTGCCTACATCCATGTATATCCATGTATCCTGATGTCTAAATATATACTAAATATATTAATTTGTGTGTGTGTGAGTGTACCTTAGCTGCGTTTTGAACACTAACAGAGTGAGATGGAGCACAGAGCGGTGAGGCCGGCACACAGGCATACGTGCTGATCAAAGCTCTGTCACATGATCTCGTGGCGCCCCCAGGGGCTGCTGGTGTCCTGCGTTCAGGTTGGAGTCTTCAGTGCTGGTGGAGAAAGAGGAACAAAAAGGAAGAGGAGTTTTGTTTGAACATGGGTGTTTGAATCCAAATTGCTATACAAAGTCATTGTCATTTGTACTCTCATTCAGGCACATAAATGGAGTGGTGTCAGCTACAATCAACCAATCATTTCCAACAAACCTAGAGACACATATTTAAATAGGAGTGTGAAAAAGTTGTTCCTGTTCTTTGTGTTAAATAATTAATTTCACTCCAGTGTTTCACTTAATCTACAGTATTAATTTATCAGCACATTGAGCTGAGCAAATGTAGACACCGGCAGAAAATGTGTTATTGGTGGCATGTGCTGTGGGAATCCAGGAATTTAAACCTGTTCTTCCACCACAGTGCTCTAATACAATCCTTCAGGTCTCCACCTTTCATAAAGGCCCCACCAAGTCAAGCATGATTTGACTTTGACTTTGAGGTCAGAGGTAGGGTGGCTAAACAGCTGGCGGGGCCAGGTCACATGCCACGATCACGCTTGGTATGTCATGCCTCTGTGGATCAAACATGTAAAAACTGAAACCCCAGCAAGCAGGATCGAGTGTGTTATTGTAGTGTGATTCCCATTAAGTAAGCTCCAGCAGTCACACGCACCGGCATACAGCAGGATGGTGTGGTTGCACTTTAGCTTGAGCACGTCGTGTTCACTTTTAGCTTGAAGCGCGTTATCGTCTTCATACTCTGAAGACGATATCTCGTGGGGATTGAGTAAGAGCTAAGAATTTATTATGAAAATTATTTATGTGACATGAGAAACTGGGATGAGTGACAGGTTTAAGAGGCAGCTGTGGAGCTGTGCAGCCATGAACCATAAATCATTGCTAATTGGCTGAGGAGAGCACTTATTCACTGCCGGCACCGTATTTTAAATAAGTTTTACATCCAAGACAAAAACAGCCCAACAACAATTTAAAGGTTAGCCTGCTGAGCTGATTATATAAAATGTCTGATATTTAGCTTCAGGCTCAAACAGATAAACCTCAGATTTCACTATCAGTCCTGCAGGATCATGTCTTCACATGCAACCTACACTACACCTGCCAACACTATGCATTGGGTTCTCTATATTAGTCTCTGTATGTGATTAATATGAGGTGCGTGCATCATCACTATATGGAATATAAATAAGGCGTGGGACAAACTGTAAAAGACCATAGTTAATTGAACCATAAATCTTCACTGATTGGCTGTGGAGATAATTTATTCACTGCTGGCTAGATCCCAACAAACCAAATGTGGGACAAAGATGTTTGTGTGGGACAATGTGGGACATGTTACCAATGCTGTGAGGTAGTCTAAAATTT